ACCATGAGTCTTCTTCAAGAGAGCGGCTCTGGGGAAGGGATCATCGGACAGCTGATCAATGCGATGCCGGACCTCAACAGCATGCTCGAGTACTGGAAGACCGCCTTCGACCGCACCAAAGCCCGAGAGAATGGCATCCTGGTCCCAAAGCCTGGGGTGGAAGAAGACTTCGACAGGTCTCAGGCGCACATCGAGCAGATCCACCAGCAGCTCGACAACCTCCTCAAGAAACACCGGCGCGAGCTGGGGTCGACGGCGATCTGCTACCGCGACAACGGCAAGGAGATCTACCAGCTCGAAGTGCCCGTCAAGATCAAGAACATCCCCAAGAACTGGGACCAGATGTCGGCCACCAAGCAGGTGAAACGGTACTATTTCCCCGAGCTGCGGGCGCTCATCCGCCAACTGCAGGAGGCGCAGGAGACGCACAGCCAGATCGTCAAGGAGGTTGCGGGCCGGTTCTATGCCCGCTTTGACGAGAACTACACAACGTGGCTGGCGGCGGTGCGGATCATCTCGCAGCTCGACTGCCTGATCAGTCTGGCCAAGGCATCCTCGTCGCTGGGCCACCCCAGCTGCCGCCCTACTTTTGTGAACGACGAGCGCAGCGTGCTCGAGTTCGAAGAGCTGCGTCACCCGTGCCTGTTGTCCTCGGTCGACGACTTCATCCCGAACGACGTCCGTCTCGGCGGTCCCCGGCCCAATATCGACCTGTTGACCGGTGCCAACGCGGCCGGTAAATCCACCGTTCTTCGCATGGTAAGCCCACCCCCTAGCATGACTTTCCCTGAAATCCTACAGCGCTTTTCAAAGTCTAACTATGTCAAATCACAACAGACCTGTGTCGCGGTAATCATGGCCCAAATCGGCTGCTACCTGCCCTGCACCGCAGCCACGTTAACGCCGTGCGATCGGATCATGTCGCGCCTGGGCGCCAACGACAACATCTTCGCGGCGCAGTCGACCTTCTTCGTCGAGCTGTCCGAGACCAAGAAGATCCTGGCGGAGGCCACGCCGCGCTCGCTGGTCATCCTCGACGAGCTGGGCCGCGGCACCTCCTCGTACGACGGCGTGGCCGTCGCGCAGGCCGTGCTGCACCACGTGGCCACCCACATCGGCGCCCTGGGCTTCTTCGCGACCCACTACCACTCCCTGGCCGCCGAGTTCGAGCTCCACCCGGAGATCGCGCCCAAGCGCATGGCCATCGACGTCGACGAGGCCGCCCGCCGCGTCACCTTCCTGTACAAGCTCGAGCCGGGCGTCGCCGAGGGCAGCTTCGGCATGCACTGCGCCTCCATGTGCGGCATCCCGGGCAAGGTGATCGAGCGCGCCGAGGTCGCGGCCAAGCAGTGGGAGCATACGAGTCGGTTGACGGAGAGTCTGGAGCGGCGGAAGGGGAAGAAGGGGGATGGGGCCGCGGCGGTCGTGGGCATGGGGTGGTGGAGTGATGTTGCGTGGGCTCTGCGGGAGGATCGTGAGGCCGTCGCAGGTGAGGACGGGGAGGGAGGGGTGAGTGAGCGGAGCTTGGAGGTGCTGCGACGCGCGATCGAGGCTTTGTAGGCGCGGCGCTTCTCTACTATGTATGGAGGGGGAAGATGAAGCTGGATGATATCAGTGTGAAGCGGGAATCTGTGACCATGTTCGATGCGTATCCTGATGGTGGTCTTTCTCTTTGGCGTTCGTGGTTTTCTGTGGTTCTACTCCGGCTGGCATGTTGGCTGGAGATAAAATACTGGGGGAGTAAGTCTCAAGCGTTTTCGGGTTATATATCGATTCGGTAGTTGCCGTTAAGAATATATATCATGGTCTTTCTGAATAGGGGTATTCCAATGTCATAACAGGTAGGATTGGTTGTGTGCAGGGAGCAACCAGTTGATGCAAATTCCATGGTTCAGCCGTCAAGTCCGGCCAAATGGACCGGTCTTCATGCTTCCATACTTTCTTTGCCCGCTTCGTGCTGCCCTTCTTCCACTGGCAGTTGACATGGGCAGCCCTCCTGACTAACTGAAGTTCTCCCTCTACATACTCATATCTCTTTTCCCAGCCACATGTCCTTCACAAAGTGAGTACTCCTCGGGGCTTGACTCCCCCAAGAAATAGACGCATCACCACTCCTACAACTATCTCATGGCACCTACGACCAGAACTCTCTATAACCTTCCTCCACTCTAAGACGGTAAGAAGCGAAACAGCTTACATTCATCACAGCAGATTCATCATAGTAGCTTGACGCATTGTCTCGGCCCTATGGAACATGATTCGTAAACACCATCAACGTTGCCGGATCAATCCATGGCAAGGACATGTCAATCAGCTCCGATGCCCCGAAGAAATCTTCAAAGTCCGGAACCGACGCCGACTCCAACGGAAAAGGCTCGAACCCTTCCCTGCTGGACCCGTCGTGCAGCAGAGGCGTTCCACGATGACCCGTGTCATCGTCGACAGGCGCTTGCCCCTCACCCTCACCCGGTCTATTGTGCAAGTCCGATCCACCGAACAAGAAGTTCAGAGTCGACTCGGTATCGGCAACAGAAGTCCACAGACGCGGAGAGGCCATCAACTTCATGATATTCGCGAAGGCTCGTTGGTCGATCGCATGGCGCTGGTGCAGGATGTCATGGAGATATGCCAGTCGCCGCAGCACGAGCAAAGCACCATGCCGTGTCTCCGTGTATGACGACTCTAACAGCTGGATGCTTACAAGGATCAATTCTTTGGCCTGCGTGATCTCGGCTGGAGAGCGCAAATGCCCGAAACAGATCAGGTCGAGGCATAGAAAGGTGCCGGCCGTTACCGCCGAGCACGCCACGGCCCAGAATTTTTGGAAGTGAGAGCAGGGATCGTGATATCTGCGCTGCAGAATACGTTTGGCTGCCGATACAGCGCTTGCGTGGACCAGATTATTGGGGGCGTTGGGGCTGCCCAGTAGCTGGGGGATCAGGGCGACGCTGAGATTGATCCGCCACGTGTCGAGGAGGTTCCACACCAAGAAGCGCTGCACATTCATCCATGATGGGACTCCCTCTAGTGGAACTCCGGATGTATCGGTCCCGTTGTACAAGAGATGGCGTGGGAAGGAGGACGCCGCAGAGTCTATTTCTCTAACGGAAGCTTGTACGGTGCTGCCGCTCCACTCCTTGATTGACCTGACAGTGTTCTGCATGGTGGCGGCTAGCTGTGCCATGGCCTTGTGATATTCGAAAGGGGACGATACGTCGGAGTCACTCGTGTAGTCCGTTGCATAAGATTCATCGCTGGTCTCTAGTATCGTCGTGAACGATCCAGGGTGGATTGAGATTGGACGAGACCACACGGTCATCCTAACGACAGTAAGCGTTGAGCACGCGGCAAGGACGGGCGATACCCACCAATCGACAATCACCAAAGTCCACCACAGTCTTCGATATACGTTAATAGGTGTATGAGCCTGGGTGTCTCGCAGCAAGTGAGGTATTTCGCAGCCCTCCCCAAGACGATCCAAGCCAACCAATCTCGCCACATTCACAGCCAAGCCGTGGAGGATATACTCTCGACTCGACTGTCCGAGATTCTTGTGGACGATATTCAGGATTGTAAGGGCTTGTACAGTCAAGACACTGGGCTTACTGACGTAATCCGCGTGTTCCAACTCCTTGACCGCAGCATCGCACCAAATGCGACACAATTGCGTGGTCATCCTGCTGAGGGACATCTCCCCGGATCTCCCCGTCAGATAGCTCTCGTGGAAGAACTGGAAGCCCTCGATCATCTCATCGTTCATGAAATATACTCCTACCTAGTTGCACGTCAGCCCTAAGCTCCAGATCTTGCAGAACCGTACGTTGCCTACAGCCAACACACTCAAATACACCGCATTCCAGCCGTGAGGCCTCGAGTTCCCGGTGTCCATCAACTGCTCCCAGAACGCACGATGCTCCTCCGCAAAGACCGCCGGCTCCAGGGCACAGTGGACCCACGCCAAGTGCTTGAGCGAGAACTGCACGATCACCTCGCTCCAGGGCTGCGCGGGCAGGATAATCAGGACCTGATCGTCTCGCGGACGCAGGGGGTCGACCCCCCCATCGTGCGACGATTCGGCCAGCAGCCCAAACGGGAGCCGTTGGAAGTCATTCAAGATCTTTTCCGAAGAATGAGACCGCTCTGCAGCCGGCGCCGGCCGGAAGATCTCGGTCTCTGCCTCGGGCTTCAGCGCCTCGGGCCGTTGGAGGACGGACTCCAGCTGGCGGATGCGGGTCCGGAGACTGAGGTTCTCCTGCACCAGCCGCGAAGTGAGGGTCGATTCGCTCTCGTCCGAGTCGTCTTCGTCCACCGCACTACGTAACTCGCGGATCAGGAAGAAAGCACCTCGCCAGAGAAAGAATGACGAAGAAATAGGTAGGGCTCACACAGTCACCTTGCCATGGACCGTGACGACTTCTCGGGCGCAGGCCGCCGATTCGCCGCGCCGGATACATGCGTCGCAGGGGATCTTCTTCGAGCACTTGACTTTTCGGCGCGCACATTGGATGCACGTGCGAGGCACTCGCTGGGTCTCGCGCATGTGCTGGGGCATGAGGGGTGGCTCGGAATTAGGATCCGAGACTAGGATTCGACATGAATCGAGTCAGTATCGTGATGGTACTGCTATTCGGAGGAGTAGGACGAGAGGGTAATCGAGAGTTGTGATCGACTCTTCTACACTTCGGGTGAGCGCGGGTGAGTTTTATTGCTGGCTGTAAGAAGATGGCAGCTGCCATGTGACCATCGCTGCTTCCGTTTGTGGTAAAATCCGGGGTTCGGCTGTGTGTTTCCCCACAAAAGCGGGGGTGTTTTTTTCATTGGTAATTAATTCGGTACACGACGTTAACTACGTACAAGTACTCATTTTACCGGTTTTTTTTTTTGATGTATTATTATTTTGATGCTGCTGGGTTCACCGAGAACATTCAACACCCAGAAGAGCAAAATCCTCTCTCCGCAGCAAAACTTCACCCTCCCCAGCTCACAGCTCACTCTCACAATCAGATTTCTACGCCCTTGCCATCAACCGCATACTTCATTGTCAGCGACCTGATCTTCGGTCCGAAGATAAACACCGGCAGACCCAGGGCCGAGATCACCCCCATGATGATCGCACAGATCTCAAAGCTACCCTGGAAGCCCTTCTGCGCGATGAACTCCGTGATACCAAAGGAGATCCCGAACGAGATGAATCCACGGATCGCGCAGATGAGCACCAGGATCGGCGCGGCGCGCTCCCCGTAACTATCCAGCGTGTACGTGAATCCGTTCAGGATGATCCCGATGTACCCAAAATAGATGCCATTGAATGTGATGACGATGGCCCACGACGACCAGTCGGTCGGATGCGAGCCCGCGCGACCGTAGATGATGGTGGAGATCAACACGACCGCAACGGGGAGGAGGATCGGGAGGAGACGCATCTCCGGCGCGACCACGCCTCCGCGGCGCCGCGCAATCCACCGGTGCAGGCGGTCGCCGCCGTAGCCCAGGATCGGCACCATGAGCATCGACACCACGATCTGGCCGCCTTGGACCAGCCCGAGGCTGGTGTCGGGGTAGTTGTAGGGCGGGGCGGCCAGCAACTGGGCGTATTCGGTGACGCCGATGACATAGATCCCCAGGGAGATGCTGTTCATCAGCACGACCCACAGGACCCCGGGGAACAGGATGCACTGCGCCATGTGCTTCCAGCACAGCGCCGCGGCGCGCCAGTTGGCGGGGCCGTGGTAGATCTTCATGCTGTGGCGGAAGGTGCGGGCTTGGTACCGCGTGTAGTCCAGGGCGACCGGGTGCTTCGTCGTCGCGCGCAAGACGTTGAGCTCCTGCCCCTCGTGGTGGATGTGCACGCGGCCTTCGAAGGCGTCGGTCGGGCGGTCGTACAGGGACTCCGGCACGAAGAACAGCGCCACCAGGAACACCACGCCGCTCGCGATGGCGAAGATCCCGTACCACCATCGCCAGCCCAGGGCGATGACGAGGTAGGAGGTCGCGATCGTCAGGGCGGCGGATCCGATCGACTGGATGGCACTGAACCAGGCAAGCCTGCTGCTGCGCTCGTGGACGAAATGGATTTCCTGCGTCGAGTCACTTAGTGATTGACCAGACGGGCAGTTGATGGTTGGCTTACCTGGATGATCAGCGGACACAAGGCCTCCGATTGACCGGCCGCCAGCGAAAGAATATCCCGTCCAGCGATGTGCGATCCTAAACTCTTACTCGCGGCGCACCAGATGGATCCCACCGTTAGAACCAGGGCCGAGGCAAGGAAGATCGGCCTTCGCCCGACGGCCATGGCCAGCGGCATCGCGATCAGGTTCCCGATCCCCATGAACAGGGTCGGATAGGTCATGAGGTCATTCGTCCGCGGATTATAATTGTAGTAGGCGTCCATCGTCGTGGTGAAGGGACCCATGCCGGAGGTCAGAAGAACGCCCAAGACGGAAACTGTGCCTTTACCATTAGAGCCAACAGCTCAGTTTAGGGGGTGGTAGCCACAACTCACACATTCCCAGCACAAAGGTAATCACCCACTTATGCCACTGGGGCAGATTGAGCGGATCTGCACCAGCGTGTTAGCCCTCACCCTCCCGGTCATTGAGCACTCCCATCCCAGACATACCTCGGGGATCCGGTGAAGGGGTGGGAATCAACACGACTTCGCCATCCTCGACCAGCTTGACCGTGCCCAGTGGCTGGAGCTGGTCTGCAGCCGCGGTCGGCTTGACCACTTCGTGATGCGTGGTGTCGATGTCTTTGGTATCCATGACTGAAGTCGGGATCGGTTACTCTGATGCGGGGGAGGAAGTCAGTCCAGTCCAATGCATACCCATCCGCCGTTCCAGGCGATGCAATGCAGATATATCTGAGAATTCCTCTCCGTAGAAGCACTTTCGCCTCCCAGACAGGGACAGTAAACTTACCCCACGGGGTACTGACTACCCTTGCACCCGGCCCTCTTTCCCCCCCCCCCCCTCCCTTGTCATGTAGGGTTGATAATTCCCAGGTGGTCATTGGCGTCACTGGGAGGGTGGGGACGAGTCAATCGAACGTGGAGCCGAGAGCATAATGGCGGTGATTGAGAACTGGGGGATTGTCAGTATCGGGGGAAGAGAGAAGTGAGTGGGTGAGAGAGAGTGAGTGGATGGATCATCTCACCCGAGCTCGCCCGAGGCGGGTTGAATTGCGCTCGCTTACCATGGATGGGCATCGGTTGGGATGAGAGTCTGTGCACGGCACTTGCGAACCTGGGGGCGGCCACGTGTTGGCCAGACCTGACCTCAGCTACATACCTTGACGTGATCCACTCTTGGTGCTAACGGTTTGGATGCTACGTACCGCCGTCTTCGTGCTTGGTATACGCCGGCATCGATGGTAGACTGTTTACCGAGGCGTTGCCCTGAAACGCTATCACACTACAGGCTTCCTTAGAATTGAGCATCTACGCATTAGAGCAATGGAAATCCAAATCACAAACAGAATCTGAGTATCATTCTTTAACTAAACAAAACAAAACGCACCCAAAATCTAGTAAGGAATCACCCCCGCCAACTTCAACAACTGCTCCGTCCGCACCGGCTTGGTGAGGGGCTCATCCCTCTCCAACGGATCCACCCGCTCCTCCCCATCCACCGTGACGGTCGCCTTGCCGTGGGTATACAGATTGGTATGGGGCCAATGGGTGGTAGTCTCGTAGTGCTCGAACAGCTCGGTCTTCTTGCGACGGTCGTCCTCGGACATCCACGCCGCGGGCGTGTAGGTCGCATACACGATGGTGCGCACGACCTCCGAGTCGCCGAACCGCGCCCAGTGCACCTGCCGCGAGTCCCAGATGATGAGGTCGCCGGGCTCGGCGCAGACCTTGACCAGCTCGCAGCCGCGCGCGCGGTACCACGCCAGGTCCGCCTCGGAGAAGGGGTGGAAGTCCTTGTGCTTGGCCGTGCGCCACGGCGTCGGCCCCGTCACCGGGTTCTCCGCGAAGAAGTCGTCGAACAGCGGCGCGGACCCCTTCATCACGACCAGCCCGCCGTCCGCGGGGCCCGCCTCGCACAAATTCACGATCCCCTGCACGCACTGCATGCCCGACCGTTCGGGGGCTTGGTCCACGTGCGGCCACGGCTTGGAGTCGTACTCGCCCACGATCGACTGCGGGAGCGTGATGTTCACCGTGTCGAAGGAGACGACCAACTCGTCCGTCTCCCAGAGTTTGGCGAACGGGGCGATGACCCCGGGTTCGCTGGTTGCAAGTGTCAGGCTCTGGGGGGGGCAGGAGGCATGGTGGTGCGGAGGAAGGGGAAGAGGGAAGACGGGGGTTACTGACCAGCGAACGTCCCAGACGTACTTCTCGTGCGCGGCGGAGAAGTGCAGGTACATCCCGCCCTTCCAACTCTGGGGCAGGTTCTCTTTCTTCCAGGTGGACTGGTCGTTGCGGTCGAAGCCCAGGCCGAACGACTCCAGCCAGTCCAGCGCCCGGCTCTGGTATTCCTTCGCGCGCGCCGGCGTCAGGGCGCCTTTGATGACGGCGTAGCCGTTGCGGAAGAACTCGTCGCGGAAGTCGCCATACTGGGTCGTCTGCGCCTGGCTCGACGGGAGCTTGGTCGGCGCAACTGGAGTTGCCTCGGGCGTATCGATGCGGGCGGGGGCCATGATGTGAGATGTGTGTCGCAAGCAAGATCGGGCTATGGGTGTTGGAAATCTGAGGGACGGCGAGAGAGGGTATTAATCGGCCTTTTCTATCGCCTCGCTGGGGTCATGCCATTGGGACCGGAATCCGACTTGGCGCCTCCGGGTGTCAGAGAGTACACGGGCGAAATGACCCTCCTCCGAAGGACTGCGACATAGTTGCTCGAACTGAAGGGGTCTAGTGGCTCTGTTGAGTGTGGGGTGGTCAGCAGGACTGGGAATCTGGTGGAAGTGGAGAAATCCAGAGATGGTGGAGGATCCACGACAATCTCACCCGAACTCGCCCGCCGAGGCATTTGTGGGGAGACTAAGAAGTCAAAGTGCAGTACATCACATCCTCATCCAGTACAACAAACTCGGCCGAGGTGGCGAACCATGAACCAACCATCCCACGCTAACGACAGCCTCGGTCAACTCCAGATGTCCACAACCCGGTTGTCAGATAGCCGGAGAATAGCTGCAACGATGTGAAGCTCGAGTACTGGTGGGGCCCATCTAGCGTGGGGAATGACAAGATGGCCAGCATGGTCAGGACCTGCGCACCAGGAGGTGCTCAAAAGAAGGACAGCGCCCTCGCCTGGTGCATGAGCAACGAACAGTACTGGTAGGCGACCGATCACAATGCCTTCCCCCGTCCCTGTCGCAACACGTCCGATCAACAAGCCCACCGTGGGCAGAAACAACTACCAGCCCTTTGGCTTCCGCGAGGAAACCCTCCCCCAAGGCTGGAGTCAAGATGGCTCACGGCCGCTGCCCTGCGACATTCACGCCTCCCACGACGTGGGAATCCAGGTTCGTGACGGCAGCACTCTCTACTGCGACATCTATCGCCCCGCCAACTCGGACAAGCCGGTACCGGCCATCCTGGCGTGGAGTCCCTTCGGCAAGAAGTTCAACGGCATCACATTACTGAAGTTCCTGCCATGGGGGCTGGGGATCCCGAAGGGTGTACTCAGCGGCCTGGAGAAGTTTGAGGGGCCCGATCCGGCCGAGTTCGTGCCGCGCGGGTTCGCCATCGTCAATGTGGACGCTCGTGGATCGGGCGACTCAGACGGCACGGTGGGGATCATGGGCACGCAGGAAGCCGAGGATGGCTACGATGTGATTGAGGCCATCGCCCAAATGTCCTGGTGCAACGGCAATGTCGGGCTGGCCGGCAACTCGCACCTGGCCATCGTTCAGTGGTTCATCGCGGCATTGCAGCCGCCATCCCTCAAGGCCATCGCTCCGTGGGAGGCATGCAGTGACCTCTACCGCGAGCAATTCGTCCGGGGCGGAGTCTTCGACGCTGGTCTGTTTGACTGGATCATCGACCATAACATCCAGGGTCACGGCGGCGTCGAGGACTTCCACGAGATGTACCGGCGCAATCGGACCGCGGACACGTTGTACTGGAAGGACAAACGACCCGACTTCAGCAAGATCCAAATCCCCGCCTACATCACCGCCTCCTACACCAGTTTCGTGCACACGATGGGCTCGCTACGCGGATGGCTTCAGATCCCATCCGCGGACAAGTGGCTGCGGCTGTGTCCCTGGCAGGAGTGGTACGACATGTGGAACTGCAAGGACTCCGCCGATGAACTGGCGTCCTTCTTTGACCACTACCTGAATGGCGCCCGCAACGGGTGGGAGCAAACCCCGAGGGTCCGAACCACCATCTTACGCTTTAATCAAGAGCCATTGTCCGACATCGTCGAGGAGGACTATCCCATCCCCCGCACCGATTATCGCAAGATGTACTTCCACGCCGACGGCGCCCTTCGAACCGAGGCGCCCAGCGCAGTGGCCTCGCTGTCATACAACTCGGAGACGTACCAGGACTGTGCGAGCTTCACCTATACCTTCCCGAGCCGCACCCGGCTGGCAGGCATCCCCAAAGCGGTGGTATACATGTCCTGTCCCGATTTCCATGATCTTGATGTCTATGTGCTGGTCCGCAAGCTGGATGCGCAGGGCCAGGCGCTGCTGAACTTGAATATTCCCTGGTCGTCCATCGCGGAGCACGGGGTGAGTCCGGGCGACGTCGATAATCTCTCCCCACGAGAGAAGACCAATCTCATGTTCCACGTGGGCTCTTTGGGCATCCTGCGGGCGTCAAGACGCGCCATTGATCACAAGCGATCCCTGCACGAGAACTTTCCCTTCCACCCTCACGACCGGGACGAGTACATCAGCCCGGGCGAGGTGGTGAAGTTGGAGATTGGGATCTGGGCGATGGGGGTAGAGTATGAAGCCGGGGAGAGCGTGCGCGTGGAGATCCATGGGAATAGCCCGCTCCTGCGCGGAGAGTTCAAGGAAGATAACGAGTTCCAGGAGCTGGCGTCGCACGGGACGCATACCCTTCACATTGGGGGCGAGCAATCTTCGCATATCATCCTGCCGTTCGTTTGAGAGATGTAGTACTATTTTAGAGATAGATCACAATGAATGAGAGAGAACGAGACACCAGCCAAAGATCAAATTACGAAAGTAATGAAGGATACCAGGAGTAGAAGCAAAGAAATTGATTATGAATTATATACTATAACTGTGCATAGAACTGAACAACCGAAGGAGAGCCCTCTCATACACATACGCCCAGCGTAGGATCAAGGGTCATACCCACGGGTCAGGGGGACACCACCAAGTAGAAATTTGAATCAGAGATGCCTTCATCGCGTCCGTGAATAACAAGGTATGGTGTGCCGAACGCCTTTCTCAGCCTCGCTCCATCCCGGGATTCCCAGCAGCCCTTAAACCCCGAAAGGAGAGCCAGCTGGGGCCCGAGAGGAGAGATTATCGAAAGATACACGCTAGGCTTTCATCATCTGAGGAATAACATGTTAGCAACTGTAGTTCTCAACTGGTTCCGGATCAAAGGTAGCACTCACTTCAAGAAAACTTGGAAGGATGAAGAAGAAAAATCAAAGACGGGGCGGAGAATTCCGTTTTTGTAGTGGGCCGCACTACGCTAGTGTGGATGGGGAAAGCGGAAACCGCCTCAGCCCACCATCTGCCGTCTCATGCCGCCTTGGAATCCGCAGCGATCGGATCGTCATCCCATCATTTTGACTGGTGTTTGACCTCAATTGGCCTGTCGGACTTGCGTGAAGCCTTGCAAGGACTGATTGAATCTCACAATGTTCTTGGCCAGGGCGTCGCGATACTCCCCTCAGCTCCGCGCCAGCTATGTCGAGATCTCCAACTACATCCGCGGCCGACGACCGGCGTTGAACCGGACCTTCTATGCGCAGAGCTCCCCGCTAAGATCTCCTCAAAGCGAAGAATCGCCTCGCGAGCAGCTCCCAACTACCAAGAATGCATCGGAGCTGCTTGCCAATTTCAAGAACTCCAGTACGTGATCCCGATCACTCCGCTCTACTGTTCTCGCGGTCTCGCGACACTGCCACAATACACCGTCGCTAACCATCATCATCATCATCATCATCTGCTGCAGTCGAATTCCCGTCCCCAACCCATGACTTCGAGACATTCCTCGCTCAAGCCCAACCCGACCAGGAGGTCGTCCTACACGGCTATGTCGGCAACCGCAGGGAGCTGTCCAGCAAGCTCGCATTCGTCCGGTTGACGGACCCGACCATGAAACACAGCGTGCAACTGGTCTCGACCAAGAAGAGCGGTACCCTGGCCGCGCTCAAAGCGGTGCGCGCGCACAGCCCGGTGGTCATCAAGGGTACGGTCCAGCGCAAGCAAGCCAAGGATGCGGAGATGGCCGCGCGGGACCCGTGGGAGATCGTCCTGGGCGAGATCCAGGCGCTGAATGAGTTCCCGAGCGACATCGTCATGACGGGCGACCACGTCCACCCGCCCAAGCACCGCCATCTGCAGCTGCGCTCGAGCAGCGAGCTGCGCGAGGCGCTGCGCTTCCGGGCCGAGGCCCGCACCGTCTGCAGGCAGGCGCTGGAGCAGTCGCGCCCGGCCTTCGTCGAGATCGAGACGCCCCTGCTCTTCAAGTCCACCCCGGAGGGCGCGCGCGAGTTCCTGGTGCCCTCCCGCAAGCGTGGGTTCGCCTATGCGCTGCCCCAGAGCCCGCAGCAGTACAAGCAGATCCTCATGGCCAGCGGCATCCCGCGCTACTACCAGTTCGCCCGGTGTTTCCGCGACGAGGACCTCCGCGCCGACCGGCAGCCGGAATTCACCCAGGTACGCTCCCCCCCCCCCCCACCCACCTCGCTCTATTCCCCGACGGCTAATCACGCTCCCTGCCAGCTGGATCTTGAAATGTCCTTCGCCACAGGCAATGATGTGATGCAGGTGGTCGAAGGCGTGATCCGCCGGCTGTGGTCCACGCTGATGCCGGAGCCCGCGCCCTCGGGCCCGTTCCGCCGCATGCCCTACCAAGAAGCGATGAGCCGGTACGGCTCCGACAAGCCCGACACGCGGTACGGGATGGAGATCTCGCGCATCGACTACCTGCTCCCGGTCGACCTCGTGCAGAAGATCACGCCGCTCACGGACCCCGTCGTCGAGGTCTTCAAGCTCGAAGGCAACGACAACGACCCGGCGGCGACGCAGGAATTCATCACCCGGTTCCTCGACTCGCCCGAAGGCGCGCCCTTCAACGAGAATCCGGACGGCGGGCCGGGCATCTTCGTCGTGGACGCGCGCAAACCGCTCAGCGGGCTGCAACCGTTCGGCTTCGAGGCCGCCGAGCACCTGGAGACCACGCTCGGGATCGAGCACGGCGACCTGGTCGTCATCCAGGCGCGCCCGCCGAACTCGCTGACGGGCGGGTCCACCGCGCTGGGCACGCTGCGCCGCGCGCTGCACGCCGCCTCCGTCGCGACGGGCTTCAAGCCCGCGATTCCCGGCTTCGAGTTCATGTGGGTGGTGGACTTCCCGCTGTTCACCCCGGCGGCAGCCGGCGACGCCGCCGCCGAGGAACCGGGCCAAGGCGGCGCGGCGGGCTTCGCGGCGACGCACCACCCGTTCACCGCGCCCAAGACGGCGGCGGACGTCGACCGGCTGCTCGGCGCGGACCCGACGCAGGCCACGGCCGACCACTACGACCTGGTGGTCAACGGCGTCGAGCTGGGCGGCGGCAGCCGCCGCATCCACGACGCCGCCGTCCAGGAGTTCGTCTTCCGCGACGTGCTGCGCATGCCCGCCCCCCGCGTCGCCGACTTCGCCCACCTGCTCGCCGCCCTGCGCGCCGGCTGCCCCCCGCACGCCGGCTTCGCCCTGGGCTTCGACCGCCTCGTCGCCGTCATGCTCGGCCGCGACTCCGTCCGCGACGTCATCGCCTTCCCCAAGATGGGCCGCGCCGGCGAGGATCCCATGGTCAAGGCGCCCAGTCCCATCAGTGCCGAGGCGGCGAAGATCTATCATCTGGCGGTGCAGGAGGAGCGGAAGTGACTCGGTGCTCTGTTCCGTAATTGTACTCCCTACGCATTCGATCGATCGAGGCGGGATGACGGGTCATCTGCCTAGCATGTATGGCTGGTTGGTTGGCTGTATGATAACCTTCTTTATCTTGTATAGCAGTTAGAAAAAAAAAAGCATCTTCACTTCATCCATCACGCAGATATACCCATCGTTACTTGTAGATACCGGTTTAGTCTCAAATGACATACAGATCCACCTCCATCTACCGAGTCCATCACCAGACCAAAAAACACAAGCACATAAACTATCATAGCTCCACAGGGCGGCTGTTATACAAGACAAGACAGACAAGGCCATACAAACACAAAAAGAAGACAAACGCCCGTCCCACAGTCCAACCACAAAACAGGGAATCTAAAATATAACACGTAAACGAAGGAGGGGGACCAACAACACAGAGACAGGCACTCAAGATTCACATATTACCCCCCCTAACCATGCCGATCATTCTATATCTGGTTTCTGTTTTACACGGGTTTTGGTATTTGTTTTGTTTTACATGTAGTCTAGGCCCGAGAGGTGACCTGCGTCGGGGTGGTGGAAGCAACAACAGGAGCAGCAGCAGCAGCAGCTTCCTCCTCCTCGTCCACGTACACATAGTCGGCCTCGTCATCCTCGAGGTCCTCGGGCGGTCCGAACGCCTGCTGCCACACGCCGTCCCAGAGGCCCTTCTTGGTGACCAGGCCGCCGACCAGCAGGACGGGGAGCTGCCAGATGCTGGCCCAGAAGAGGCCGCGGGCGCTGCCCTGGCCGCCCTGGTACTTCCAGAAGCGGTAGGCCTCCTTGACGAGCCAGGCGTTGGCGAGGGAGCTGCTGACCAAGAACCCGTGGCCGACGACGCCGACCCACCACAGGCCGATGGAGATCGGGAACATCAGCACCGAGTAGCGCAGCGCGACGCGCGCGTTCATGGCCGGGTTCTTCCAGCAGAGCATCTTGTAGCCGGCGCGCTTGTACTCCTCGCGGATGGTGTGCGACAGCGCGTTGAAGTGCGGGAACTGCCACGCGAACAGGATCCCGCCCAGCAGCCAGCCGCCCACGCTGTCCGCGCTGAAGAGCATGTCGCGCCACGTGTCGTGGCCCGTCGTCGCCGTCTGGCCCGCGGCGGCCACCCAGCCCATCAGCGGCGGGATCCCGCCGACGATGGCGCCCACCCAGGTGTTGATCACGTGGATGCGCTTGAGCGGGGTGTAGATGAAGCCGTAGAGGACGATGTTCCCCGCGGAGAGCGCGGTGACCGTGGGGTTCGTGCCGAAGTAGAGCAGGCCCAGTCCGGAGATCGCGGTTGCGATCGCGAAGAGCACGGCCCCGCGGCGGGAGACGAGACCGCGGACGAGCGGGCGGTTGCGGGTCCGCGACATGAGGGCGTCGTACTTGGGCTCGAGGAACATGTTGATGGTGTTGGCGCAGCAGCTGGAGAGGAAGGTGCCCGCCGTCAGGTAGAGGAATGTGAGGGTGGAGGTTGAGAGGGTCGGGAGCGGGGTCATCGATGGGTCCAGGGCGAGGAGCGTCGAGATCGGGTACATGCCGTAGGCTGCACTCGCACTGAGCACGACCAGAACAGATAACCGGGGTTTGCAGAGCGCGAGAAAGGCCGCCATTTTGCGGCGCGGGGACGTGGTGGGGAGGGCGGAGGAGAAGGCCGACAGCTGTGCGGAGGCGTCGGGGGGAATGACATGTTCGGCTTCGGTGTCGCTGGCTGCAGCTTCATCCTTTAGTCGTTTCCTTCGGCGGTGTGGAAGCTCTGTCTGCGTGGATTCGGAGGTAGGTGAGACGGGGGAGGAAGAGGTCGGATGGTGGTCTGATGTTGATTTGCGGGCGGGGGAGTCGGGTGGAGGGTTGCCATTGTTGGTCGACAGCGAGGACAACAAGCTGCTCTTGTTTGCAGCAGCATCTTCGGCGCGATTGGAGGAGAAAAAGGAGCGGTGGAGAGGTGCAGGAGCGGATTGCGAGGCGGCACTGCCGGAGTGAGAGCGGGAAGACGAGATGAAGCCGCGGAGACCAGCGGCGGAGAGACGCGATGGAGGTGACCGTCTCAGAAAGCATTGGGATGAGATGCGACCGGCATCACGAGTCGGTCCTACTGCTCGCAAGGAGCAGCGGAGGAGACTCATGGCGAAGAGGGGGAGGGGAGGCAGCAGACGGCCGTGAGGAGGTCGGTCTGTCTGTCCAAATGCAGCGCACAGCAGAGGGGAATCCATCGGAAGGATTGAAGCCAAAGAGGGAAAGATGGCGGGTGCGGGCGGCGACAGGGACCAAGAATGCAGTGCGGCGATCGGTGAGAATCGACTTGATTGTCATCATCCTCCGTTTTCTGTTGTTGATTTTCCGCTGCGGATTTTCTTTCTTTCTCATCTCACACTTCAGCCTCCTGAGGAAAAGGTACCCACCCTCTCGTACACATCGTCAGCCTCCCTCCTCTTCATCCAAACAAAACATTCCACACACCATGGACGTCCTCCAGAAATCCGTCCTGGATCCCCTCCAGCCCGTGCTGCGCCCGATCGTCTCGGCCGTACCCGAACCCGTGCACGATGCGATCATCTCGCTGATCGGCCAGTCCTGCCACAACGCCCTGGTGGTCGACCTCGACATCAGCCAGGACCCTGCCTGCACGTCGCTGGCCATCTCCAAGGCGCTGGGCATCGCCATCGTCGGCGCCAGCGCCATCGTCAAGGTGCCCCAGATCCTGAAGCTGATCAACTCGCGCTCGTCCGCCGGCGTCTCGTTCGTCTCGTATGCGCTGGAGACGGCCAGCCTGCTCATCACGCTGTCGTACAGCGTGCGCAACAACTTCCCCTTCAGCACCTTCGGCGAGTCGGCCTTGATCGCCGTGCAGGACGTGGTGGTCGGGGTCTTGGTGCTGGTGTTTGCGGGCCGGTCCGCGGCCGCGGCGGCGTTCGTGGCGGTCGTCGCCGCCAGTGTGTATACCTTGCTTTTCGACCAGACCCTCGTGGATGCGAAGACGATGTCCCTGCTGCAGGCTGGTGCGGGCGCGCTGGGGGTGGCCAGCAAGGCGCCGCAGATTTTTACGATTTGGAGCGAGGGTGGCACTGGCCAGCTGAGTGCATTTGCGGTATGTTTTCTTCTTTTATGTGCAGTCTTGTCATGGGCACTGTAGCTAATTGTCTTGGTCCCAGGTCTTCAACTATCTCGCCGGTTCTCTGTCGCGCATTTTCACGACGCTGCAAGAGGTGGACGACAAGCTGATCCTGTACGGATTCATTGCTGGATTCTCGCTGAACCTGATCCTCGCGGCTCAGATGCTGTACTACTGGAACAGCCCGGCCAAGTCCCAGGTCAAGAACAAGAAGAAGACCGCGGGCAAGCCTATTGCCAGCGCCAGCGCCGCGGGCGTCTCGACCCCGAGGCCAACCGCCACCAGCTCGGGCATTTCCTCGCCCAAGTCATCGGGCAAGACTCCCACCACCCGGAGACGTGGTTAAGCGGCCTCCGCCTCCTTTTTTTGAGCTTCTTCACCCCAGACAATACTTAATCCGCTTTTTTCCAAATCTTCCCCGCTCCTTGTAATCCTTGTAACGGGTAAACCGCTCCCTGTAATCCGTGTAACGAGTAAAATCACCTCTGACTCGGCATAATCCCCACGGTCATAAACCGCAAAATCTCATCCAACGGCACCACCGGCGCCACCACCGTCTGCTGTGCAGCATGCCCGGGGGCAGCCGGCGCAATATCAAACTCCAAGCCCTGCGCGACCCCAGACTTGCGCCTCACGCCCACAACCTCCATCTCATCGGGCTCCCCCTCCCCTTCCTCGTCGCCACTCTCCTCCTCCTCCTCCTCCTCCTCCTCCCCACTTTCACTATCATCATCATCATCCTCCAACACCCGCCGCAACCCAGTCACGACATTCCCGACCCCGCGCTCGCGCTCCTCCAACGTAAAATTCCCACCCCAGTTCCTCCGCCGCGCCTCCAGGTTGGCCTCCACCGGCGCCCAATCCCACAGCTCGGCCAGCGCGGCCAGATCATCCAGCCCCTGCCCTTGGCCGTTGTCACCCCCAGCCGCCGCGCCCACTGCGGCACCGCCGCCGGAGCCATGCCCCGGAGTCCCCGGCCCGAACGGCGGCGCGGCCGACGCCAGCGACCCACCGGCCTTCCGGCCGCGCGCCACCCAGTCCTCGACGCGGGGGTCGAGTTTGGTGCGCAGCAGCTGCTCGAGGGCGACGGTGTTGGCGGGGTTGCGCGCGGGGTAGGAGGGGGCCGGGTAGGCGACGAGGGTGGCGAGGAGGGCGCGGTTGTCCGAGAGGTGGTCGGAGATGGTGAGGAGGTTGTTGCTGATGATGGTGGCTTGGGATTGCAGGGAGGTCCTGTTTCCCCCCCCCCCCCCTCCCGGGGAGTAGTCAGTATGGATTGGGTGAATGTATGTTGGTATAGCGACATGCGGGTGGGATGGGTGGGGATTGTTGGTTTAGGGAAGGTATGAGCGGAGGGAGGCAAGGGTCAATGAGGGTTGATTTTATGCATATGTCTATGTTGCGAAGAATGAGGGAGGATTGCAGAGTGGAAAGGTAGGCGTACCATGACGGCAGGGGATCACTCTGGTTCAGACTGGTGATCAACGAGCCCAGGGAATGCGTCAGTTGCACGAGGCGTTGACGCGATTGCTCGAGGGTTTTGATCTGATCGGGGGTGAGGGAGGACATGTTCGTTTCGTGCGGAAATGCTTTGGCCGGTTATATTCGAGAAAATGAGTCTGTCCAGCCCAGCAAGAGAGGACGAAGAGGTGGTGCCAGTGGTGGGGAGGGACTGTCCTGCTATATCACGATGCGGGCGCGATGGAAGGCGGTATGGCAGTCCAGCTCACTGGTCATGCTCCTGCCTGAGGTGTCGATCTCCCTCCCCACGATCCGCTTATCGCTCGCTTTCCAGCTCCATATTTCCTGATGTTCCATACTGCCAGTGGTCAGTATCCTAATGTGAACAACAAAGAAACAAACAAACCTCATCCTTTAGAATCCTGGCGCCTACTTCTTCTTCTCACTCTCACCACTAAGCACCCACAGTATCCTTTCTTATCATCATAATCTCCCCCGTGGCTTTCGCCATGAAACGCACTGCTGCATCGACCAACCAGTTATGATCCTGCACCCAGATCCCGTGTTTATTTATAGGCCTCCTGGCAGGGATTCTGCAGGCCGATTCACACACGCTCTCTCTCATCCTTCCTCCTCCCTTGCCCGCCCCCGCGCTTAACGCACTGGGGAAATAAGGGCAGAGGGAGGCTTATAAGCCCGTCTCCTGCTCTGTTCTGCAGCTGTCAGTTGTACACCAGCAGCAGGGATACCACTATTCAGGGCCTTTTGCAAGCGTTTCTCTAACCCCACTGTGGGACTTGCGCTTATTATTCTTCAGCACTCTTTAGAAGAAAACATTTATTTCACTTTGATGAATCTCCATCCATCCTATTACTTGCAATGCATTATCAACAACAACAAAACTATGTGCAACACTCGAAAGGAGAGCGGGGTATACAAGATATGCTGCTCCGCACGATGATCCCATCCAATCCCTCGTCATAAACATCATAAAAGAAGACACAATGTGCTAACAAGCAATAAAGACAACACATTATTGGCCTTGTATGTAGGCCAGTCAACCATGAAGACCACCTTTTCACGTCGAGGTCAACGCCTGCCAGTGAGGACCTCTGGCTGCAACACCTACAGCCAGCCCGGCGCCTAAACAGACTCATAATTTGGAGTCAAACTTGACAGGGAAGAAGTCTTCAGGCCTCTTGCCCTTCCCTTCCGGAGACACCGGAGAAATGTCACTCTCCATCGCCACCGTCGTCTCTTTCACATGCTGCTTCGAGTGTCCCACCATCTGACTGCGGCCATCGTTATCCACAAACTGGAAGCCCGAGCCTTCTTGCAGTTGCTGCGGCTGCGGCTGCTGCTGCTGTTGATACGCCCCCGGCGGATACATTTCCTGTGGTGAGTACGACGGACCACGCCATGGGTGCTCCGCAGCCAGGGTTTTCCATCGCTGCTGCTCCGACGCTCGCTCGCGGCGGACATATCTCCGTCGCCAGCCGAGGCAGAAAAACAAACTCATCGTGCACAGACAGACCAGAATCACAAACCCCATCACCGGAAGCCCGACCAGCGTCGCCAGCCGGTAATTGATGGGGTCGTGTGCCGTGCTGTTCAGCAGATCCCTGTTGTAGAAGGGAAGCTGCACCTCCGAAAAGATATCCGATGGACTGATGGGGAATGCTGTATCAGTGGGCACGGGGAAATGACACTCATAACGCATCGCCTCGAGGACTGATCATTTCAATTTCTGTTAGCGGCTTTGGTTTTCATTTTGACAGAAAGACCATACGCACAGTTTGCCAGATACCCCTGCGTACTTGTCAGGTTGTAGCAGTTACTACAGGTGTCAATGTGGTTGTCGGCGAATGCTCCCGTGGCGCAATAGGCCCGCAGGTTGTTCTGATTCGGGTTCAGCAGCTCAAACTCGAACGCCGGGCTCAGACCAAGGCACGCAACCAGGCAAGGCGTCGAGACCGTGTTCACATCCTTCGGGTACCCGTAGACACAGGTGTCGAATGCGAACCGGAGATTATCTGGGTACGAAACTCTATCAGCGCCTGGCCAGCTGCAAAACAACCCCAATAGAAACTTACAGAGGCCCCAGTTGAAGTCACTGATCTGGGTTTCAGCATCGGTGTAATTGCTCTGTAGCTCGCAAGAGACGCATTCCTGGAACTTCCGGCCTGTCTCCGTGGTGTTGTACGACTCGTCCAGACAGACCATCTCAGAGGAAGTGGTATTAGTTGGGTTGGTACAGACGTCATAGCACGGTGATCCGTAGGTCGCATGCAATGCCCCGGCCGACGAAGCCAGGGAGGTCAGTAGCAGCAGTAACGGTGCTGCTACCGACATGATCGTAGATCGGGAGCTCGGGCCCCGCGGTTCGAATATCATGCCGATGTTCTTAGGGGTGGAATGATTGATCGTTCCTCAAGCTCCCAGTAAGACTAATTACCAGGCTACCTACAACCAAACGAATGGAGGTGCTGAGTGCAGGAGGTCGACCGCGCCGGCATCGAACTCACCGCACGGCAGGGGGAAGAGATAGCGACAGGAAGTGGAAGACCCAAGAGATCCCAGGGGCAAAGATGAGGGAGAACGTGCACCGGGGGCACGGATGGAGGGGAGGGAGACAGAGGGTAGAAATGGCGATGCGGATTCCACGAAATAATGCATGACAAGCTCTTCGGTTGGACGGCATGGGATCGGAGCCATGTTGGGGACTGATAGAAATGCATACCACCGCACTGGCGAGAAGGAGAACCGCACTCCCGTGCCGGATCACCAAGCATTGGGAGACACAGGTCGAACTAGCATTAACCAGGGTTGGACCAGGGCGGGCAAAGAAAACTCCTCCCCTGGTCAATCTGGGCGCTAAGGAGCCCCTCACCCAAGCAGGCGAAGGGCTTGTTGATCACCGTGACAGGACGATTGTGACTGTGACATGTGGTGCAGAAGCTTGCAGTCCCGGGAAAGAGCATGACTCGATGTGATTTGCTAGCACTCCTCATGCAGGAGGAGGAGAACAAAAGCACTCCCGAGTCGGCTTGCGGGGTTGGGCGCTTGCACGCAGCCTCGCATTGGACGAGTTCAACTCGCCGCAACTGCACTTCATCAGTCCTCTTCGGCTCCAACCATGGTTTGCCTGTTTGTTTGTTGATCCTCTGGGCCATTCAGCGAAGATGGTGTGATCGGGGAGCCTTGATCAGATCGATTATTATTGTTCTCCGCCGGAAATGCAACCTTGACGGAGGAGGCGACGCCATCCTTGCGCAGGACGACCACCCCCGAACAATGGTAACAGGAATATCAAAACGCCTCCCAAGCAGACAACCGCAAACAAAACTAATTACACAAAACGCCACAATGCAGCTTTAATCATCGGACTTCCATCCCCCGCGAGCTACATCCCATTGCCTCTCAGCTCGCGAGGAATCAAGCCTGGTCCATTCGGTTCGGCCCCTCGCCATCTGTCCTGGGCTGGGGCTTCCAAAAAATTCACAATCACAAAATGCCGCTCGACCAAAACAGCCCAAAATGCGTAAGCCAAAACAGCCACCCAATGTATCCGCCAAGATCTCTCAATAGACCTTTTACCCATACAGTTCATCGTAAGATGGAACCATCTCCTGTGCTTGTGGAAGCTCCTGCTTAGATCGTCGGCTGGCCCTCCGCTCTGCCAGCGTAGAGGATGGGGGGATAATGCCCGGAATTCGCTGGTCCTCGGACGGATTCGAGGGAACTGAGGAGGTATAGCTGTTATGTCTCGACCCGACCGTCCCTGGCATCGACACTGGAGACTCTGCCAAATACCCCTGGACACTACATCCGCGCATACGCGACGTGACAGACAATGGGGGCGACTTGGACGCTCGCGAGTAGAGCTCAGAATCATCGTACACATTGGGCCGACCGGAGGAGAGCTGGTGTCGCCCGTTCGATACATTGTGCGGCGATGGAACGGTCGCCCCTTCTGTCTCCTCCATCGAGCCATCGTCGGAGCACGAATGATACCATGCACTCGGCGGATGGGCAACGTTTGATTCATACGAATGTTGCTTCTTCCGGGAGCGATTACCCACTCGCGCATCGTAGTGTCCCGTAGGAATGCTCATGGCTGAATCAACGGATTGTGCTCGCTCATCTCTGCTGGCTGGTGGTCCCGAAGCTCCTATGCGAGGCGAACTGGCGCATCTACCAGGCTCGAGTGAGTTCTGTCGCCGTTCGCGGTCTCCATCAGATGTGCAGGCGCCCGTACTCGCTTGATCCCACTGGTTCCAAGAGCCGCCGTTGGGATAGGTGATGGATATGTCGCCCCATCGTGAGTGCAATTCGGATGATAGCTTTCGCTTCCTTCGTAGTTTTTGCATGAGGTTCGTCATAATCGCAAGAGGATTTTTCATGGAATGAAGCCTGAAGAGGCTGAGATGGGATTAGCATCGACGGCCGAGCCACGGAGGATCGAAAGGTTAAGGGCCAAGGAAGGAAGAGCCGAGACATCCACGGTACCTTTCAAGGATGGGGTCCCCCCAATGTGTATCCGGTCCCCTTTTCTTACCCAAGATTCCCTCCACTACAGCGTAGTCCCTGAAGCTGTCTCAAAGAGGAAGGTAGTCGAAGGGACGATGACCACCATACGGCGCCGCAGGCTTCGAGACCCGTCTCTATCGAGCCGGTACACTTTACTCGATGACAGAAGAATCACGCCGGCCGAAGGGCTCATGCATATCGCTCAAAAGGTTGATAGATGGGTCCCAGTCTGAGGGACCAACAATTGGGTTTCCTTCAGACAAGTCCTTCAGCAGCGGCAGGTTGTCATCCTGGGCCAGGCGAGTCAGTGACGGTCGCACGGAAGTGTAAGGCATTCACACACGACCCGGCAGTTTGGTTCGCACACCCTCATCGCAGTCATTTTGTCCGGGTGGAGTGGGGGAATATGGTCGAGAGAGGGTCACTTTTATCCGAACACAAATCACTTTTATGAAAGCGGCACGGAGGTTGGCCGCGCGCCGGCCATTGACAAGCGTTTGGGGCAGGAAGGGGGTCCGGTCCGCGTAACTGCTGGGCAGGGGTGAGGAGGTCACTCGCGAGGATGTGGACGCGGCGCAGTCAACTTGCTTTTGCAACCTGCTAGCTGCGTGCAGCTACTGGGATGGCAGACAGCAATCCGCCTAATAATTGGTCGTCGTCTTGGCATGGCGCATCTAGTGACCTCGGCATCAATCAGCACTGGAAGACTGGGAAATATCCTTGTCGAGGCTAGCAGGTTGGTAGTATCGATTTGAGACATGCCATGGTGAAAGACGGATGAGGCGATATTAACCGCCGGCGGTGATAGCTGGAGGCCTCGTAATAGCTGAAGCAAGGATGCGAGATTTGCGCAATCCACTGGTCAGCGAGTAACTAGGGCGAAGTCAGTGGTTCGGCTGGCGTCAGCAAACCATTAGGCTGTTCGTCTGGGATGCCAGGGTCTGGCGACGAGAAAAGAGGGGAAGCCGCACAGGACAACCACCGGTTTGATCGTCGCGGCTGGACCCGAACCACCCGCAGAGCTTATCTACGCGCCTGGATGGATCCCCTCCAGCAGACGAGGAGTCATTGTCACATCTCGTCGTCACTCCGCAGCTTGTCGGCTCCGAGAAATCCTCCTTCGTTCTCTAGCTGCAGGGCGGCGACCATGACCCCCTCCCTGGTGACCCTAGCAAGAGCGGGAATTCTCGAGATACCAGACCATATGGCCCGGCCATTGATCGTAGCTTTTTCTCCTTTGGGTTAATGCACGCAGACTGGGTCCTGCAAAAGTCGTCGTCTCTCGGTTCGCAAACGTTATGGCGTGTCGCACTTGTTGCCGGTTCAGCACAACCAACCCCCAATCTCCACACATGATGGAGTAGACCATAAACTGTTTGTTCCCGATGTTCTAGCCGCCGGACGTAACCATTCGAGGGATCAATCCACCTCCCTCCGCGATGGACGAAGTACTAAGGCGACCCCAGATGAGCTGTCGTGCGTCAGTAGAGTCGAAAGATTTCTCACAACGAGGACGGGAAGGAACAGCGAGGCGTGAGGGGAGAGGGGCAAGAGGAGCTTGAAAAAGTACCAACCTGGAGTTGAGTGACAAGCGCTCATGGAAGACCTGCTCCGGTTTAGCTCATGTAACAGCATCTGCCATCGGACCCTTCGAGGTAGATCGCCAATAACATTGGTAGATGCCGAGCCTGTAGGACTTTTGGCGGAGTAGCTCCAACCACGAGCTCATACCATCTCTTCCCTCAACTCCGTAGTCGATGGGCTGGGTCATCCTCTCATCCTCTCTTCCTTCTCGTAATCATCGAAATCATGAGCATCAACATCACAAAGCATAAGCATCGTCATCATCATAATGCATCAATCCAGCTTTCTCCTCCATGCGTTCAGTCAAACACAAGTCGACCCGATCCTAACAGAAATGAACGCTTCCCCAAGAAATGGGAAGCAAAAAGACAAGAGAGGCATCAATCTATAAGCGAGCGACAGAAAGGCTTGAGAAAAACAAAGAAAGGACTTTTCTCCCCTCGCGATCATCGAAGGTCCGTCACCAGTCTCGACAGCACAGGTCTAGGCCGTCGCGGCATCTGCTGTGCTGTGCCATCTGAGGTATTAGACGAAGAAAGAGAGACATCGTCATTCAAGTCCCGCAAGGGACCTATCGTGGGTGAAGGCTGAAAGGAGAATCTAGGAGTAATGAACGAGTCCCACTGAGCCATGATAGGAGCTGGTGGACTCAAGATCGACGATAGGGATCTTTCCTCTTGAAGACCCAGTGTAGGATAATGGTGATAGGGGATAGCGAGTCCAACAACTGGAGGATGGGGAGGAGGGGCATCGACCCTCTGATATCGAGAAGGGTCGTAGGTGGGTAAGGGTTGAGGTTGATAGGCTGGGGGTGGGTCGCGAAGGAAGTCATCTACCGGGCTATGGTAATGAGCTGAGAGGCGCGACATGGGCTGGATTGGGGGAGGGAAGGCTGATATTGTTGTTGTTCCTCCTCCTGCTCCTGCTCCTCTTCCTTCTTCGAGCTGCTGCTCCTTCTGGTTGGGGTCGAGATCGCGCAGAGTGGGATAGTAGCCCAAGGCGAAGGAGATGTGATGGTCGATGAGGAACTGTCGGTCCTCGCGACGTTGCATGGAGCGTTTCTTGTGGCAGAGGAAGGCAAGGATTCCGGTCACTGTGGTTGGGCCGATGGTCAGTTTGGCCGAGTTTGTCTTCTCGGATCCAGTCCCTTCCCTTTCCATGTCGGTAGTGTGTTGAAGGCGACAACAACAACAACAGCAGCAGCAGCAGCAGCAGCAGCAGCACAAGAACAAGACACAAGACAACACAGCCCAGAAGGAAGAATGACGAAGTGAAAAGTCAAGGCTCACCAGCCACCAGCACGACACTCCCAAGAACCACTCCAATGATCATCCCATCCATACTCGACGATGGGAGTCCGGTCGACCGGACTCCGAGAATCCGTGGCTTCATCTTGTATGTGCTCTCTGATGTCTGTCTATCCAAGTCCAAATGACTGACTGACCGACGACCAGACATACAACCAATTGAGCAATGGAATAAAACTCCAGTACACCGTGTCCCGTGCTCTGCAATTCACTCTGAGGAACCTAGGGCACAGTGACAACATGTACACACACACGCCCCACACACGCACACACACGCACGCATACAAAGCAATCTAAACCAGCAAAAAGCAAGAAGAAAAGGCAGAAGGGAAGAGCAGAAAGCAGCAAAGAGCAAAGAAAGAGAAACCGCAACACGGGGCCGACGAAACCGGCCCACCTATCTTAAAGTAAGAAAGAAACCCAGATAAAGTCCAAGCACACACCTCATCAACCCCGGGTACCGTTCCTCTCTCTCCCCGCCTGGTTCCCTTCAGAAAAGCTATTTTAATCTCAACGGACCTGGTGGTGGTGGTAGTTGCTGCATGAATCCCTTGGCCCTTACAAGATGTCACACAACTCCTCCCGCGGTTACTTTTCCCTTGATCCCAGGGCTGAAGAAAACAAGCATAGGGTAGCGTGGGTCTCAATTGCCGTCGGGGATTTTTTTTAAAAATAGTATACCCACCTGGGGGAGAGGATAACTGTCCTGCAAGAGGCGGGGGGAACACACCAAAGAGCAGATTGATTGGATAGCGAGGGTGGTTGATCTCCTCTCCCATCATGCCCTGAGCGCATGTGGTCCTCTCGTATCGGCCGGCGGCTTTTTTGCCTGTCGGGTTTGCTCCACGGGATGCGCGTGGACCAAAATAGATTCCAGCTATCGTTCTAGTCTGGATTCTATAATTATACTGTTTGATAGCTGTTGATGTCTTGTAGATGGCTATATAGCAGGATGATATATGCGATTGTTTGTCACAAAGTTTGATTAGATTCTATGTCTTCGCGTGAGCTGTGATTTCGGTTTCGGTATTTGGCGATGTTGCCGTGTCCCGAAGGGTACAGTACTAAATCTTCTCCTCTTAAGAGCAACACAAAAACAATATATTCTCGCAGTATCATATCATGATCGCTAATATGAATATCGACACATCCCCGCTCTTCTAACTCCGCTATTCGTTCAATCTACTCCGCATACGGGCGGTATACCGCGATGCCCTTCTCCGTGCTCAGGTCCAAGGCCACACCCGCCCCGATAAAGTACGTATAGCCCTCGCGCAAGTCGAACGTCTTGCCGTCGCCACCGGCCACGCTCATTGTGCCGTTGCCCTTGGTCACGATCAGGAGACTGGGCCCGCCGACTGGCTTGTACGTCTCCTTCTCGCCGGCCCCCAGGCTGGTGCCCAGGACGTTGAACTCACTGAACGGCGGGGCATACACTTCCGTCTTGAAGTGCTCGCCCTTGTCGCTCTTCCGTCGCGGCAAGGTCGCCTCGTCCGGGCCGTGCGGCTTGAATGACAGCGCTCGCGTGAAGAGGTCGACGCTGTCCTTCTCGGCCTTGGGGCAGAAGCCCGTGTTGAGCACGTTGTCCGACCGGGCCATGCACTCCATGATATCGCCGTGCAGGTACGCGTGGATGCTATCCGCCGGAACGCAAACCGCCTCCCCGGGCCCCAGCGTCATGTAGTTCATAAGTAGCACGGCCACTAAGCTTCCGTTGTCGGTCTCGGGGTATTGCTTGCGTAACCGTTCGAGTAGACCAGGGATGTACCGCTGGTTGGGCCCAAAGCGCGACTCGGGGATTTCCAGCAACTCTTTGACGGTCTCGGCTACAATGGAGGGGGGCAGCGTCAACAGGATCCGGCAGATCTCGCGGAGCAGCTCATCGTCAAGGCCGGACGTTTGACCTGGGGGCACAAACTGATCGAGTGGCTTGACTTTCAGAAGCTGCTCGATCTCGGCCAAGGGCTTGAAGCCCGCAAAGAGCTCAAACTTCGACAACGCGATGGCAATCTCCGGCTTGTGGTTCGGGTCACCGAACTTGTCCGGGTCCTCCTTGTGAAGCTTCTCGGATAGAGCCTTGTCTGGGTGTAGCTGTAGGGGGAGCGCCTTGGAGAAAGATAGGATCTGCGCTTGGGTTAGACCTTTACCATATCACGGCGTTGATTTGAGAGTTTGCTTCATACCTTAGGTAGGTAAGGCACCTCGGGACCCCATTTGTCCAACGCGGACTTGCCCACAACCTCGGGGTTCTCTTTCAGGAAGTCGCTCAGGAGCTGTCCTGTGGACAAGATTTTAGAGGGCACTGTAGGGTATGTGCCCATCCACATCTGTAACCCGTCAGTAGCTGAAGCGCTGAGAGCGGTGCGATCGTTGAGCTCACTTCCGAATAGGTCTTAGAATCATCAACCTCTCCCGCTCCGGGTGTTTTGGACCAGAGCACACCGGCGAGGGAATCCTTTCCCTTCTTGCCCCACGGGTCATTCTAAAAGCTAATTAGCACGGGCTGAAGAGATCGAAAGAACTCAAGTGATCGGCCATACCTTAACACCACATAGCAACTGAACTACTGAATCTGGCATGGTGGGCAACGTAGTAATGGTATATGTATAGGCTCAAGCACAAATGTCGAGTAAATGGCGTTCCAGGGGATAGAACACATTTCTCTGAACAATATAAATCAATCTCCGTAGTAATTCAGCTGCTTATCTGATGTGCCCTTGAAGTGCGTTAACATGGCGTCATGTTGTGGGGGGTCGACTTGATTCGAGGCCTGGATCTCATGGCGTCATGTCCTTATCATTGTCAGGGTTGTTCCTTTCGGGTTTTCCACGAAAGGTAGTTTCAGGTACCACGGCAAGATGTCGCATTCGATTGACAGCTCTCAAGCCGAAAGTCAACAGAGATACTGATTATTAGTGAGGGAGAGGATGAGATCCCGCCAATTGGGAGCGGAAATTGAATTTCAACAGTTGCGGGAGTCGCAGGCAAGACTCCTCGTCAGGTTGACGTCAGCCACTCGCCTCCAGGGTTAATAATTTGGATTGAATCCGAATGAATAATCAAACAATTCCAAAATATAATGTTTGTGCACACCTGCTAACAATAATGTATGATTGATTATATTATGAATATATACATTGATCAATAGTACTAAGTTACCGGCTTCTACCGGAACTTTCAAAAAAGCAATGCAGCCACCAAACGCCATGCCAAGAGCAATGCTATGCAAAATTTTAATTGGTCTGGTTCCGTAGGCCGTCACGGCATTAGCGAACGTCGATGCTCATGTCTCGTTTGTTGGAGTCATTCGTACAGCTGGTCTGGATCAGGTACCATGGCTGTGGTCATGAACTTCCCCAGCTGGGTAGCCCTTTTGTCGAAGGTCGAGAGCCTGAGAGTCCTTTCCACCGAAGCGCTGGTGCGGCGGCTACTGCTCGCCTCGCTTCGGCGCGGGGAGGCCAAAGATCGTGACTGTCTGGAGTGATGATGGTCCCCCTCGATCACTTGGTCTCTGAATGCATCCTCGAGCTGGTCAAAACGGGTCCGTGGTCGCGCACACCGTTCCAGAGAGCCCTCATCGTAAGGGATGTAGGAGCTTGCACGACGGCTGGAATGAAGCTCTGGTGATATCGCTCTAAGCTCTTCTGCAAACTGAGCGCCAGCGGGGATGTATCTGAATCGTGGAGAACGGGGCTCTGGGAATGCTGTCTTCTCGGCGATTTCGGTGGGGTAGTCTTGCTGAATGGGTCTATAGGCGAACTGAGACCGTCTGCGTTCGGCTTTAGTGGTGAGCTGTTGGTCCTTCTCCTGTGGGTAGTCGGTTGGGGTCTTGGATCGTGGATTAAGCCGAACAGATAGTCGGCGCGGGTTTAAGGCTTTGACGGACAATGAGCTGGGCCTGGCAGTTCGATGGTCATATTCTGTTGATGGGGCCTCGTCGTGGCCGCGACTCATGGCGGAAGGCACGAAGCCCGTGCTGCAGGTCCCTTTTCGGAGCGAGGACTGGCGAGGATTCTCATATTGGTTCCAGGACCCCTCAGTGGGAACGGTAATCCTCACGTCACCCCATCGCTCATGGAGTGGTGAGGGAGAGTCGTGTTTCCGGAATCGTCCCAGAGGACCTTTCACGGCGCTTGCCATCACGAGGGATGTTTGAGTTATTGGGCACCTCGAAACAGAAACGAACAAAGAATTCAACAGCGAAAGACAGAAAGCACCTCAATAGCCGGAGCAAAAGGAAAGAAGAAGCTGCATGCTAAGGTTTGGGAGAAGCAGTCGAGCACCACCCGAATTTCAAGTTGGTGTTGGTGTTGGTGGCTGTCGGCTTTGGCTGGACAGCTGAAGACTGGGCAAGCGCTTGTAGAAACACTAAAGAACAGAGCTGAAAAATGTGAGGATAGCCCAATCGGATCTTTGTTCCAGGCAGTTCTTGGAAGCACAGACCCAAACAAGGCTGAAGAGTGAATCCTTTGTGAACCGGGGGAGATGATGGATATAAAAGCTTATCCATAGGGTAGCAGTCGGTTATGGAGCTGTGGTTCATAAGCAAACAAGCGACATCCGATGCTGCATAATGCCACTAGGAGGTATGCTACTAGGTAGGAAGTGTATGTTTCCAACATTAGAAGCACATAGCAAGCATACATACTAGGTAGAGATTAGCCGCCGATGTCTCTGTAGATTGGAAGTGGAGAGCGGGGTTATCCTGTTAGCCCAAGGCACCTGGCAAAGATGGATCATGGATCTATATTAAACCCACCTAATTAGTAGCACTGCAGCGGGTGCAACCCAGATTTGGGGCAATCGATTGGATCCTTGGACCGCCAGAGATTTAGCGACTCGCCCCGAAAGAGGGGAAATCGAGTCGCCTCCAAGATCAGTGCAGGAAAGCGATTCGCAGCAAGTTAGCGCTGGTCTTTTACAACCAAGTATAGTATACATGTTATGTACCTATTAGGCATTTAGTCGCACAGTCCAAGCCAATTGTGAGACCTCTCCATGCGCCCATAAACCTGCTCTATTTTTATTGTATGCGTCATGCATGTCATCGTGGGTCTGCCAGCACAAATACTAACTCACCTAGGAAGTTCAAAATAGTAAATTGTCGAGTCCGCAAATCACGAAGCTCCATTTATCTGATGCAACTCTATGGCTAGTGCTCTCTAATCTAGGCCCATGCAATGATCTGCTACTCTAAACGCCGACTCCTTACATCTAGGCTGCTCATGAACTCGGGTTATACACACTCTTGAGGCCGTGGGGAAAGACATGCACCAGATAAACAAAATGTATGGGCAATGCAAAAAGACTTGGAAACGTGGAAAGAGCACCCTTGTCATGCCAGAGCAACGACAAGGATGTTTGTTAAAGTGTTAAAGAGGACTTGCTGGGGTTTTTGGCATGGGTTGTTGGTGTCATTCGCAGCAGTTGGCGGGACGGGGACAAGGACGTCTCGTGCAGGCCGCAGGGTACATATTCTGGAGAACGAGCGGCGAACCCGTGAAGTGGCGGTCGCACAGACTGACCGGAGGAGGATGAGGAACCCGACGTAGATTGTGAGGATAGCGAACCGCCTTTGAGGGCCATCCAGGAATAGGGGTGATCTTGAGAGCTTGGCTCCCAGGTTCGCCAGGTAGTGCTCATCTGCGGCCGCTTGGGAGACAGAGCCTGTGTTCCTTCCCCGGTGTCAGATTCCGTGGAATAAGGTCCGTCACTAGCATTGGAAGAGTCCTCCTGCTCCTCTTGCGTGCGTTGCTGATGATCGTGATCCCCGCGCGCAGAGACCACGGAGCCAAAGTTCTGTGATTGTTCGGATGAGAAGACGCTTCGAGACCTCGGCAAGTGTGGGGTGTTTTGGCGGGTATTCTGATGTTTGGCAGACTTTCTTCGTTCCAGTTCATGGTTGTATGAGCTTCGTCGATTCAGCATGCGCCCACGGCCACCGCTGCTATCTAGCGACTCGAGCGAGTAGCTGTTGAGACTATTATCTGACCTGACGCTGAGCTTTCCAGGACAAAAAGCCACTCGGGCTCGCATTTTCTGTACCGCTATGTCCAAGGCCAATTCAATGGCACAATGGTTTCGAATGCGCCCGAGCTTTGGCCATGTTGCACGTTCGCCACTCAGGCATGCTTGAAGCATGAAGTCGGTCGTCGGGTTCCTCAGCATCACCGGGAAGTTGCTATACAGTATTTCCGGATAGATATTGATATCGCCGGAATATTTCTGGTTCACTATAGACATGGTCTTCGTCAAAGCTGTTGGACAGATCCCCATTTCGGAGAGAACTGTCAAGCGATACATTATTTCGTCTTTGGCCAGATGAGTGGCAGTATGAAGCCACTGAGGCGCAATGAAGAACGGTTTTCCACGCTGATGCGGACCATCATCCTTTGGCAAGAATGGGACGACATGAGGATTGACCTGCGAGACGATAAAGTGATTGACATTGAACATCTCCGAAAGCCGATTCATGGGCAGGTCGCCATCCACCGATCCATCGATATACTGTTTGTGTAGGTCGTGCCAGGGCGCCGGCTCTCCGGTCAGAGGGTCTTTAGCCATGAGCTCGGATGGTGAAAAGACGAAAGGCACTGAGCAGGAAACAGCACTACTGACGTTAGTCCCGAGATCCATACGAAGCATGTAAGACTGAAAAGCTAAAGGACCTCTTACACGGCAGACCAGATCAGCACATTCGGAGCAGTGATATAGTTCAACAACTTGGGGAGTTCGTAGACTCCCGCACTAGAGACGCAGACATTGAGTATTCGTCGTGTCCGATTGTATGCTTCCTGAAATGTTATATCGCCAAGCCAACTTCTCATGAGTTTCGCCAGATGTGAGATATCCAGAAATGAACCATACTTCAGGAACCGCGCGGTCTTTTGTAGTATATTATCAGTGTCGCTCTCCTCGCCAAAGACTGCAAAATCGCCATATGCATAGGATTCCAGAAGGGCGGGGAGCTCGTCCTCCGTTCGTGTGCAGAACACTGCGCATACAATGCTGCCGGCCGAAGCACCGGAGATGATTCGAGGTAAAAGTTTCGCTTCGTAAAGAGCTTTCAGCACGCCGATATGATTCATGCCGAAGGTCGCACCCCCGGAGAACAGCAACGCGCTGCGGCCGAATGATTGTCTCGCTGCAAGTAATTGATCGAGTATATACTTGGTTTCCAGACCATCACACCGGTTTTGTCCCGATAACTCGACCAGCGAGGATATTGTGTCTAGCGCGGTGGTGATATATTTGTCTATCAAATCTTTTGTGCCCAGGTGAGAATACCGATAAAGCGAGGCATTACTCATGTTCCCCAGGTCTCGACTCAAAGACGTACGAATTAGGAACAGCATCCGGCTGACATCGCAACTAATTCGGGCGTCTTCCAGCTGCTGGAGACGTTCTTGAACCAGACGCACGTCGTAGTCTGGTGACTCGAGGGCTTGCTTCCAAACGGTGTGCTCTTCCAGATCATCCAATTCGCTGGCACAGATCCGCCATTCATCATATGTCACTGCCTGTACCAGGGTGTTAGATGGTTGCAGATTCCTTTGATTGCCTCGGTTTGAGAAATCGCCAGCAGTACATCTCGTAACTCACATTCCGCTTTTTCAAGTAGAGAACCTGTTTTCTGTCTTCTACGTCGATGCGCGCAGTGCGTTGCTCGGCGCATGGACCATCTTTGCGGTAGCTCAATGTATCTCCAGCCCATGTCAAAGAGCTCATAACAAAGGATGACAGAGAGGGAACTGAGATGGACTTGAGCAGAGAACGCCGAGACCCGCCGGTCGCGCCTCGAATCGCATCCTGAGTTGGACGACGCTTGGATTTACTATTGCACTGGGTGCGCAAGACTGTAGGATCGTGGAGTAATGACATGACAGGCTTGGGCCCGCATCAGTCCCGGTATGAGCCAAAGCGCATGCGAGATAAGCTTAGAAGAAGACGGCCGCGGAACAAGAGAAGCAAGAACGAAAACTGTAGACTGAAAAAGGTCTGTGAATAATTCTAATGGTGGTCGAGAAGAGGAAGGGACGAATAAAGAGGAAAGTACAGTGAGTAACTTGGTATGTGGGGGATGGGGGGAGGGTGTAAGGGGGGCAAAGTGAGGTAGAAAGTGGAACTGGTTGTAGTAATAAAAAAGTCAAGTGAGATGGTATAAGCAAGTATAAGCTGGAGATGGATGACAATAGTTCGTAATATTCTAGGATGGAAGGATTATATTGTTGGTAAGGTGTTGTTAGGCACTACTAGGTAGTTTGTTTGATAGTTAGAGTGCTGTAGGGTATAGTAAAGTAAAATAAAGTAAAAAAGGTGGCAGGGATCTGGGGGTAATTGAAAGGCTCATTCCAGTCAGCAGCATGAGAGGGTAAGAGGATGAGTGGGGAAGGAGGAAACTCTCCACGGTTTCACTCAATCTAACGTCACGAGGCCGGAGATTCAACCTCCCCACTGTCCTCTTCGGCTGCTGCCGATCCTCCCTGTCTGCACTACTGTGCCAGTACGCGGGGAGAGAAGATGGCGCCCCGGGTCGGAATGATGCCTACATAATGACATCCCTCAATCTCAACAGGGAGGGTTACCTAGAGGGGCAACTGCCTAATGCTAGGTCAGTTATGCTTATATGAGTATTACTAGGTAGATACTGTCAAATGAGTAATATCCCTCATCAGGTCAGATGCTGCAGCACCAGTGATTGACGAACCTGCTGGATAGAACTTGAACCACACAATCACAACTCTAATCGGATTCGCCTGAAATGCGCCTTGATGCCATCATGCACCACTCATCCTTATTGCCCCCCCTGTCCCCCACTTCAGCACGGAGTTTTGAGTCAGATAATTCCCATCATTCGTCACATACCACTACCAATCTGCCCCGAACGCTGGTGTCAAGGTTTATGTTTTCGGCCTGATCCTACTGAGTATTAGAGTAATTCAATACTAAACACCCACTGATCTCATTTCCCCCACATTTGTCAATTTATATGTACCATCCTGAAGTAAGGATAATCCTTAGACTTTGATGTTCTCGAAGGCGAAATGGTAGAGTACCAACAGACTGCAAACAGAGTTCCATGCGCAGGGGGTGAGGTAATTCTTGCTTGTTTGACGAACGCGTCTAGTGCGGTTCTTCATAAGGTGCGATCTTGCATGGAGGTGTGCGACCGTGGTTGCCGTGCATCGGAAGTCCAAGGGTCCAATAATAAGGGAGCCTTGCATCAACTACCTCAACGAGGATGGGTTAGTTACCCACTATTGTGAGAAAATGTCCTTAGCAGGCTGCGATAGCCTTGGCGTGATTGGTGTGGTGTTGTCAGTCATTTAGCTGCTCGAGTGTGATAAGGAGGATGTCAGGACCATCCCAGCACATACACCGATCTCCTTCCAGATGCTTAAGACAAAGCGGATGGTTTCTTTTCTTTCGAGTTCGAACTTTGCGTTGCATTTTATTGGGTATTTTGTCGGTCTTCTCAGACCAGGATGGCCGGTCATGCGTACAAACAAGTTTCACATGCTACTTATCATGGTCGAATTTCTGGCCCGCATGTGAAAGTGACTTCTGGCTGGCAGTACTCATTCTTCGGACCCCATGCACCGATGGCCATTGTATGGAAGGTACTCTAGACTCATTCGCTCTTGTGATGTAATCCATATTACCTACTGACCACTGCGCAGGGATTAATGAATCCGACATAGCCAGTTCCTGATAGCGTCTCTGGCCTGAGATCGAACACCATCTTCGATCCAAAAATGCCCTGCTCCATCGATCTCAACCGACCGAAATTTACTTGATGGATTCTGACGGAGCTCTTTCGACCAGGTCTGCAACTTATGTACGGATGTGAAAGTATCCTGGGTTCCGTAAAGAGCAAGTGTTTCGTGTGCGCATACCTGGTCTGCTGGCTGGGGGCAAGGAATCGATTGCCTCTGGGACGACTCAAGCGTTCCAATGTCAAGCGACAGCTTGGCAAACAATGTCAGAAAACGGTTGATCGGGGGTAGGATGGGTGAGATAAGTAGATAGGCGACCGTTGTTCTCTGAATAGTGCCCGCGGCTCTTCTCATCTCCTCGAGTGTATTTCTTTCTTGTTCGAGAATATCCTTGTCTTCACCTAAGCAGTAGACGAGATCTCGAGCGATTTGGTAGATCTCATACATGGGGGTACCATGGTTACTTTGCTTGACAACATCCGCAATCAGATCTAGGTGCGGCAAATTCGAGGCAATCATTGACCCATACGAGTAGCCGCCTAATATGAGCTGCGCAGCTTCAAGGTTATTTCCGCCATACTGCGATGAAGTAGAACGCGTGTCCCTCAGGCGATGCAGATAGAGCAGCATGAATTCGTAGAAAGAGGCGTAATCGGCCAGTTCAGGCCTGCCGGTCCAGCTTGTCCGCCCATCAGAGCCACCGGCGCCACTGTAGCACATATTAGTTTGGAACTATTGAAGGGTCTCGGACTGTCAAGCAGCTGACGGATGGATGAGACATCTCAGCGAAAACAATATCCCAGAAACACCAAAAAAGGGTGGCAATGCTTACCGGAAGTTGAAGGTGCCCACCACAAACCCAGCTCGGAGAAGCTCCCCTGCAACGAACCCCACGACCGGATCGTCGTAGCATCCTCCGAGAGGGGCGTACGGATGTGCAACGATCGCACCTCGTATCCGCTGACATGACGAACTGCTGGGATTCACCTGTCCTGGTGGATGGTATATCCGGCAGTCGAGCCTGAGTCCATCATGGAGGGATGGAATGGTGAAGGTGTGCGTCGGAGTGGGGAGGTGCATTATCAAAGGCGGGTTCCAGATCCACACTCAGCACATATAGTCTGTGGCATGTCACTAGGAAATGTGGGATACTTCTTGAATCGTGTGTGTAGCACAGCGAAGGGGAACAGGTTACTTGGCTAAAATTAAATCACCAGGCCTGTTGACAGGGAGGAGGTTAGGAGAGGAAGTACGGAGTGTACCTTGTGTGGGACGCTGGTCGGGCCCAAGCGTTTACGGTCAATGAGCCGCTGCTGCAGTTTCCAATTGTACTGCACAACTTCCCTTCATGTTTACAGCAATACAATCAAGGAATTAAATATTTCCAGTGCTATATTTTCGGGGTCACTGGGGATCCTTGCAATACATATATAAGTATAGCCTCGGGAAAGTACTCTGTATCGACTTGCCTATTTGCTCGCATCCATGTATATCTGCCGGTATTGCCCCCCCCCCCCCCCCAAAGAACGACTTCGGGTCATGCAGACATCTTCCCTTGTGACACTTTTGATAAGGCGCTTGGGCAAATATTATAAACATGGTTACTAGTCAGCGAACTGGTTGCTGTCCTAATGGGAGCTTGTTTTTCCGATCATGTCAGATTGTAATTCCTCTGTGTCGACCAGAGCAAGTTCTTGATAGCATAGCAGCAGGCAAAAGCGCTTTATGATGAGCATGTATAGATTACCGAAGGCATTCAAGCTACTTCAATAGGAACTAGTGATGTCTTTCAAGTAAATCAAACCAGGCACCGAGTGTACATCTTGGTCACGATTCTGGGAGCAGCCAAGCGGGATCTGGTTCATCATCTTCTCCCCCCGACGACCTAGAAACTACATCAAGAGAGTGTTCCTCCGTATCCCTCAACAAATCAGCTGGAGGCTCTGGGTTATCCACCCCAAGCGGGTCAGCATGAACATCGGGTTCACCATCGCCGGGGCCACCGATAGGCGATCGGACGTCGGCGTCGGACACATTGAACAGATTCAGCAAGAGCTGGTGAGCCTCTTGCAGAGCCTGGAGCTCTGCAGAGATGCAACAAACGAGTAATTTCCAGTTCTTACTCTCCGCAATTTCTAAGTGATCTTCTACGCGTTCAGATGTGTGTCTCAAATCCTCTAGCACAGCCCGGGCAATGCCCTTTTCCGATAGGGTTTGTAAAGTACCCTCTGGATCCAGAAGTTGTGACTGTTTCTGTATGAAGCGGCGCATGGTCGCCTTCAACCGCTTCTCGTAACCGGTAACTTCCCCGACTACTTGTTTCCAAACTCCGCCACCAGCCTCCAGCGCTTCGATCTCTGCCTTGACTTCCTTTTCTCGGCTGCGCAGGTCCGCTTGCTCCTTGGTCCAGTGTTCGTGGGCGAGATCGAGGGTCCGTCGTTTTGGGTTCAGAGTATAGAACGTCGCGTCACTAGACTTGGCCGATACAGGTCTCACAGGCGGATTCTGGAGGTATCTTTGAACATCCGACTCCAGTAGTGTCAAAGAAGCTTTGTAGGAGGATAGCTTAGAGTCGACCGAGTTTTCCATTTGCGACAATTCCCGGATGACATGTTGGTGCCTAGCCTTCATTTGGGACAGTCTGGTTTCCATTTCATGGATGTCTTCCTCCAGTTTGCGACTTTCGTCTCGTAGTTTCGTAGTCCGTTGACCTTCCTTATCGTCTTGAATTGTCGAAATTGCGGCCATTAAGCCGGCACGCTTGGTGTTAAACCCATCAATGTCCTGCAGTGCAACGTGTCGTTCATCGACCTGGGAGATCAGTAGCTCATGCTCCTCCTCTCTCAGCTTCAACAGGTCGTAGATAGATTTAAATATACCTTCCCGAGCCGCACGAAGACCAATCTTCTCGGGAGGTGGTTGTCTCACTGGAACGGTAGAGGGCCCTTGGACACTACCCAGCGCCGAGGTTGGAGTATGGCTCCCACTAGTCGAGGGAGTAGCATTGGACTGCGGTCCCGCCAGGCCAGCAAGAAGGCCTTCGCTTTGGGCATCGATGAAGCTCTGCAGGTTGAGTTCGATTTGTTTGGCTTGTCGGTCAATATATACGAGTGAGTCTTGCTGGTAGGTGGAAGCTCCCGGCGCGAATATTGCCGACATTTTGGGGGTGATGACGGCTTGGAGAGGAACGAGCAATGGGATGAAATTTGGCGGGAGTCAGGGTACAAATACCCGCCTAAATTTTCAGTTCAATGGAGCAAAATAGTTCAGTCACGAATGCCTCGCACACGACACAACAAAGAGAAAGAAAGGGTCACTCCTGCCTAGGGACAGGGACCTGCTGCATAACTACTAGCATGTCGCATGCCATCACCGACCACGTGACACTGATAGGGCGGTCGGCAGAAACCAGCAATACCATTCGACAGCTTCCCTCCGCCCCGTTGACGTGTGCCTCGCTGCTTGCTGCTGCTGCTGCTGAGGAACCTTGAAGCTTCCTGATCACTCCGAGCTTGTCTCTTCCCACCATCCACCATTCTATCCCGCCTGCTTTGTCCATCTCGTTTCACGTGTACTTTGCGCCTTTTGATCCTCAGTAGTCTCGATATTCGCAGATTGGGTTCAACCGATTCAACCACTTCACGGCTCATTCGAAGCTGTCGCCCCATCCTCTAGCGACAGCGCTGCCATTTCCCATCAATCCAGAACACTCCCTTCAGACATGGTTGGACTTGCATCAGCCGCCGGCCTTGTCGGCTTTCTTTCTGAGTCCGATCCAGAGTTGCGAGTCTTTGCTCTGAAGACCCTTGACTCCCAGATCGACCTCCTCTGGACAGAAGTCGTCGACGCCGTACCTCAAATGTTCGTTTGTCAGCCTGATTGTCCGTTCTCGACGGACGCCCACCATGTCCCTAACTCCTTCTCGACTCCAACCATGAGCTGCTTCTTTTTTAACCTGACACTGACTCCTTGGAATCTAGAGAGGCGCTCTACGAAGATGAGTCGTTTCCGGAACGCGAGCTTGCCGCCCTAGTCGCCGCCAAGGTGTACTATCACCTCCAGGAGTACAACGAAAGCATGGTGTTTGCACTAGGTGCCGGAAAGCTGTTCAAGCTGGACAGTGGTGGCGAGTTCGAGGAAACAATCATCGGTATGTCTATCGAGCTCATCTATCACCACCGAAATGGCTAGTATCTAATGCTTACCTCTCTCAGCCAAATGTGTTGACACCTTTGTTTCGCTTTCCGCCGCCCAGCGGCCGGCAGCAGGTGACCAACCTGCGAACCTGAACACTTCATTCCCCACCTCCGGTGAAGGAGCCACGAGCACCTCCGCCAGCCTGACATCCCCAATCACACCATTTTCACAGTCCGCCTTGCCATCCAAGTCTCTTTTATCCAGACAAGAAGTGCCCGGAGTGGATGCGGCCTACCCGGGTGGCGATGATGCAAGCATCAAGCAGGTCGAGACACCCTTGGTGTTGAAGCGGGGAGTTCAGGGTCAGTTGCAAGCAATCATCGATCGCTTGTTTGAGCAATGCTTCACTCAAAAGAGGTATCGTCAAGTCATTGGAATTGCCATCGAGGCCAAGAACCTCGATGTCCTTCGGAAAACCATTATCCGGGCTAGTGAGGACGAGAAGAAGCAGAACGGCGAATCGCGACGAAGTGAAGAGCTTATGGAGTATGTGCTGGACATCTGCATGGGGATCGTGCAGGAGCGTGGCTTCCGCAATGACGTATGTCCATATCTTCCTCTCCATTGCTCCCTTACACTGGTGCTAACATTTACTTCCAAAGATCCTTAAGCTTATCCTCGACCTCCTCAACGAAATCCCTGCGCCCGATTATTTCTCAATTGCCAAGTGTGTAGTGTACCTGAATGAGCACTCAATGGCGTCGGCCATTCTTCGTCAGTTGGTCGACAAGGGTGATGCGCGATCACTCGCCGTTGCCTACCAAATTTCCTTCGATCTCTATGACAACGGTACACAGGAGTTCCTTCAGAGAGTTCGCAGCGAAATCGCCGAGCCCCTACAGGCGAGCGAGGAGTCCGAGTCGAAGGCTGAAGAGGAACCCAAGGAATCGGATCCTTTGCTGGACAGCCAATCCAGATCTATTGGCGAGAACAACGAGCAGACTAAGATTTCATCTGAAACGCGCGCGGCTTACAAGAACGTCCTTGCTATCATCGATGGTAGAAAGACCATCCAACTGAATTTGGAATTCCTGTATCGCAACAACAAGGCCGACATCGCTATCTTGAACAAGGTTCGGGATAGCTTGGAGGCGCGGAACTCTATCTTCCACACTGCTGTCACACTCTCGAACGCTTTCATGCATGCCGGCACCACGCACGACAAGTTCTTCCGAGACAACCTGGAATGGTTGGGCAAAGCTGTTAACTGGTCGAAGTTCACCGCTACTGCGGCACTGGGTGTTATCCACCGGGGTAATCTGACCCAGGGTGAAAAGCTCTTGCAGCCCTACCTGCCTCGGGAGCACATCGCGGGTGTTGGAGGTTCGGGCTCCGTCTACAGCCAAGGAGGTTCCTTGTATGCTCTAGGTTTGATCTATGCTAACCATGGCGGCATGGCTGTGGATCTTATCCGTGATCACTTCAAGAAGGCCACCGAGGAAGTTGTTCAGCACGGTGGTGCCTTGGGTCTCGGTGTTGCGGGGATGGCGACCGGCAAAGAGTCTATCTATGAGGACTTGCGGAATGTACTCTACACCGACTCCGCACTTAACGGCGAGGCCGTCGGTCTCGCCATGGGTTTGGTCATGCTGGGCACTGGCAACATGAGAGTGCTTGAGGACATGATTCAGTATGCTCATGACACCCAGCATGAAAAGATCGTCCGTGGTTTGGCTCTGGGAATGGCTCTGATCATGTACGGGCGTCAAGAGGCTGCCGACGAGCTGATCAACGGTCTTCTGGGTGATCCCGATCCCACTCTCCGTTATGGTGGTATCATGACGATCGCCCTTGCTTACTGTGGTAGCAGTAGCAACAAGGCTGTCCGGAAGCTTCTTCACGTTGCTGTCAGTGATGTCAACGATGACGTTCGCCGCATTGCTGTTCTGAGCTTGGGATTCATCTTGTTCCGCAAGCACCAGAGTGTGCCTCGCATGGTCGAGCTGCTGTCTGAGTCCTACAATCCTCACGTTCGTTATGGAGCTGCTATGGCATTGGGTATCTCCTGTGCTGGCACTGGTTTAGACGAGGCCATTGACTTGCTCGAGCCTATGCTTAAGGACTCGACCGACTTTGTGAGACAGGGTGCTTTGATCGCTTTGGCCATGGTTCTCGTGCAGCAGAACGAGGCCATGAATCCTCGCGTGAGCACGCTTCGCAAGACCATGATGAAGATGATTGGGGACAGACACGAAGATGCCATGGCTAAATTCGGTTGCGCCGTTGCTCTGGGCATCATCGATGCTGGTGGGCGTAACTGCACCATCAGCCTCCAAACCCAAACGGGCAACCTCAACATGCCCGGAATCGTTGGTGCCGCTGTTTTCACTCAGTACTGGTACTGGTTTCCCCTCACCCACTTCCTGTCCCTCAGCTTCACCCCTACCGCAGTGATCGGCGTGGATGATGAACTGGAAGTTCCCTTGTTCAAGTTCCACAGCAACACGAGACCCAGCCTCTTCGACTACCCACCTGAGCAGCAGGTGAAGACCGAGGAGGCCCCTGAGAAGATCAAGACTGCTGTCCTTTCGACCACTGCCCAAGCCAAGCGCCGTGCTCAGCGCCGGGAGAAGCAGCAACGACGTGAGAGCATGGACATTGATCAGACTCCTACCACACCCAAGGTATCGGAACCTCTGGCGGACAAGATGGAAATGGACGAGACCGCGGCCAAGGTCGAAGACGAGGCGAAGGATGGAGAGAAGGAAGGTGGAGAAGGGCAGAAGAAGAAGGCTGAGCGGGAGAAGGTCGGCTATGAATTGGACAACATGTCCCGTGTCCTACCAGCTCAGTTGAAATATCTGACGTTCCCGGACCCGCGGTATGAGCCCGTGAAACGGGTAAGTATACTTTCCTCCCTTTTCATATGTGACCCACGCTAATTTGGCGACAGCCTACCGGTGGTGTAGTGGTTGTGTTGGACAAGACCCCCGAGGAGCCTCGCGAGAAGATCGAAATGAAAGCTAGCAAGGAGGTCAAGCAGGCTGCGGCAACAGAGACGCTACAAGACCGTCTGCAGGCTGCGATGGGCGCGGCTGGTTTCCAGACACCCCAGCGTGGTGGTGGCCGAGGTCTGGGGGCTGAAATCGGAGCCGATGCGGGAGCCTTGGCTGCCGCCGGTGTGTTGACAGCGGTGGATGAAGATGAAGAGGACGGTGAGGAAGCACCTGTACCTGATGAGTTCGAATATGAGAGCGACGGAGTCGAAGAGTAGAGCTCCCGGTCGCCCTGATAGATCTCTCTGGCTGGTTGTATTTCTAGGTTAATTATGGAAGTTATGCCCTATGTGAATTGAATAAACATATTCCGGTACTTTGGAGGTCGGTCGTAGTGTTAACTATGGATTGCGAACTGACGACATCAATCTTTATGGTCGATGCTACGTTGGCTGTACAGCAGTCGTTGTCTATGAATGTACGAGTATATGCTAAGTAGTAAGTCAGTTTCCAGAGTATTCCGTACTGAGTAGCAGTGATCTTTTCAGCCAAGCACTAGGAACTACATAGCTCACCAATGTTTCCTTCCTCTGGTCCACCCTGGATTACAAATATGTCTGCTGTCTTTTTTATCTTTCTCCTGTTCACATGCTAGCAGTACTGAAGAAAGGTTAACAACTACCCAGTAGCAACTAGCATGATGCATGATCTCATCTGATCCACTGACTTGGTCTGGTCTGCCTCGGCTGTTTCTCCTTGCAGTAAAGCCCCGCACGTGCCATAAGGCCGGGGAAGCCAATCGGAGGAAGAGCAATACACATCCCGGACTGGCCGAGGCGTGGTCCACGTGAGCTGCTTTATACCTGGTGGTACTGTACTGTACTCTTTACTACGGGCATACATGGTGGGCAGGCAGTGATGAAGTCAGTCGGGCCCGACATGTGAAAGCCATTCCTGAACTAACTACTTCCTCCCTCTCATTTTTGTAGTGATTACTCCGAGGCCGATCGTGACTCTGTTTCATTGTATCCACTGTCCATTTTTCTTATTATGATTATTATTGGACTTTCCTATTTACCAGAAGACCCATCTCATTGACGGGGCTTGTTGCGTGGGGAAAGGCCTCCGTGATCAAAGCTGAACTGAAGCAACCCACCAGCCTGCCAGCCTATTTTTCA